TGTATAGAGAACCTACTCTATGATTTCAGTCTTTTTAATTTTTTATTGTTATAAAATACACATAAAATAAAATTTACATTTTTTCCAGTGTGCAGTTCATTGGCATTAGGTACATTTGTATTGTTGTGCAACCATCATCATCGTCCATCTCCAGAACATTTTTAGCTTCCCAAACTGGAACTTCATATACATTAAAAAATACAGGGCGGGCAAAAGTAGGATTACAATTGCTCATGTGGAAAATAATACAGTAATAAATGATAATACAAGAGTAAACTCTGCGTCTGTGGACTCACAACTGTAAGCCCACTTTTGCCCACCCTTAGTTTTCATTCCCGCTCCCCCAGCCCCGGCACCCACCACCCTACTTCCTGTCTCTGTGGAGTCGGCTGCTCTAGTACCTCACGGAAGGGGAGTCATGCAGTGTTTGTCCTTTTGCTCCCTCTACTGAGTGTAATGTCCTTAAGGTTCATCCATGTTGTTGCATGTGTCAGTTTCCTTCCTTTTTAAAGTTGAATTATATTCCATTATGTGTGTATATCACATCAAAATAATATGCCCTGGCCGGTGGGGCTTAGTGGATTGAGCGCCTGACTGCGAACCAAAGGGTTGTCGGTTTAATTCCTTGTCAGGCACATGCCTGAGTCGCCAGCCAGGTCCTCAGTGGGGGGTGCATGAGAGGCAACTACGCATTGATCTTTCTCTTCGTTTCTTCCTTCCCCTATCTCTGAAAATAAATAAATCTTTTTTAAAAAAAAGAATAACATACTTAAAATTTAACTCACCCAAGGAAGTGAAAGATTTGTACCATGAAAACTACAAAACATTTTTGAAAGAAATGAGACAAATAAATGGAAAGACATTCCATTTTCATGAAGGGAAAGAGTAATATTGTTAAAATGTTGGGCCAAAATGGAGGCGTAGGTAGATTCACTTAGCCTCCTCACATAACCAAAAGAGGGACAGCAACAAATTTAAAAACAAAAATAACCAGAACTGCCAGAAAATGAAACTGTATGGAAGTCCAGCAACCAAAGAACTAAAGAAGAAAAATTTGTCCAGATGAGTAGGAGGGGTGGAGATGGGCAGCCAGGGAGGAGAGGATGTGCAGCAAGGCGGCAGCTGGCGGACTGGGTGGTCCCACGTGTGTGTGGAAAAACAGGAGGAAGAGCTGGGGAAGGAGACAGATCTTACAACCCCGGGTTCCGGTGCAGGAAAGGAAAGCCTCAAAACCTCTGGCAGTAAAAACCTGTAGGGATTGCAGGGGCCGGAGAAACTACCAGCCTCAGAGAAGAGTCTGTTGGAGGGACCTACAGGGTGTTAGAACATACACAAACCCACCCACCCGGGAATCAGCACCAGAAGGGTCCAATTAGCTTGTGGGTAGCTGGGGAAGTGACTGAAAGCCCGTGGAGAGCTGAGCAAGCAGCATTGTTCCCTCTTTGACCCCTCCCCCACAGACGTGTCACAACCATCAACCTGGGTCACCTGTCCCTGGCGAATACCTAAGGTTCTGCTCCTCCCAACGTAACAGGGGCACTGAGACAAAGAAATATGGCCCAAATGAAAGAAGAGATCAAAGCTTCCAAAATAGAACTAAGCAATAAACAGATAGCGAGCCTATCAGATGTGCAGTTCAAAACCCTGGTGATCTGGATGCTCACTGAATTGGAAGAGTATGGTTGCAAAATGGAGGAAAAAATGAAGGCTATGCAAAGTGAAATAAAAATATACAGGGAACCAACAGTAAACAGAAGGAAACCGGGACACAAATCAATGATTTGGAGTAGAAGGAAGAGATAAACATTCAACCAGAACATAATGAAGACACAAGAATTCAAAAACTGAGGAGAGGCTTAGGAACCTCTGGGACAACTTTAAACGTTCCAACATCCTATTCATAGTGGTGCCAGAAGCAGAAGAGGAAGAGCAAGAAATTGAAAACTTATTTGAACAAGTCATGAAGGAGAACTTCCTCACTCTGGCCAAGGAAATAAACTTCCAGGAAGTCCAGGAAGCACAGAGAGTCCCAAAGAAGTTGGATCCAAGGAAGCACACACCAAGGCACATCATATTTAAGTTACCCAAGATAAAAGATGAGAGAATCTTAAAAGCAGCAAGAGGGGAGGAGAGAGTTACCTACAAAGGAGTTCCCATAAGACTACCAGCTGATTTCTTAAAAGAAACCTTGTAGGCAAGGAGGGGCTGGCAAGAAGTTTTCAAAGTCATGAAAGGCAAAGACCTACGTCCAAGATGACTCTCTCCAGCAAAGCTATCATTTAGAATAGAAGGGCAGATAAAGTGCTTCCCAGATAAGGTCAAGTTAAAAGAGTTCATCATCACCAAGCCCTTATTATATGAAATGTTAAAGGGACTTATCTAAGAAAAAGATAAAAAACTAGGACCACTAAAACAGAGGGCGGGGGGGGAAGGGGGCAAATGGGGGAAAAGGTACTGGGAATAAGCAGCATAAATAGTTGGTACAAAATAGGCAGGGGCGGTTGAGAATAGGGTAGGAAATGGAGAAGCCAAAGAACTTCTATGTACAAACCCATGGACATGAACTAAGGGGGTGGGAGGGGAGGCTGGGGGGTAGGGTGGTATAGGGTGGGGGGGAATAAAGGGGAGGAAAAAAATGGGAAAACCGTAATAGCACAATCAATAAAATACGTATTAAATAAAAATGTCACTAATACCCAGAACAATCTACGGGTTCCATGTAATCCCCCTTAAAATCCCAATGATGGTGTTTGTGGACTCTCTTTCAATCAAGAACACTTAGTCCATTTTAGTTTCACTTAATTGTTAATATATTGGTTTTATATCTGTCATCTTACTGTTTGCTTTCTCTTTGACTTTCCTGGGCTGTTCTTTTTTCTCTTGGATTATTTTTCTTATTTTATTTTTTGTCTAGTAATTTGGTAGTTATATATATTTTAGTATTCCATGGTTATGCTAGAGATGAAAACATGCATCTTGGGCTTATAAAAGTTTAATGAAAATTAGTAATTTGCCTCTTCTGGACTCATGCAATGACTTTAGGATATTTAAACACTAATTCCACTTACCTACTTCCTAACTCATATGTTGGCTACTTTAATCTATGTGTCTTTTAAACCCAGAGAGCTGATATGATTACTTTATATTATCAGTATTAATTTAGATTTCCCCATATATTTATATTTTTGTTGTCCTTCATTACTCTCTGTATCCTCAGGCTTCCATCTGGGGTAATTTTCTTTTTCCTTGAAACCAACCCAATTTTTTTTTTTTCTTAAATTGCCTTTATGTTGCCTTTACTTTTAAAAACATTAAAATTTTGGTTACATAGATGTAAAACAAAATCTGTCATTTTAGCTGTTCTTAGACATTTTCAGAGTAGTTACAGAGTCACAGCAAAACTGAATGGAAGATACGGTAATTTCTTCTATACCTCCTGTCCCCACATATGCAGAGCCTCCCCCCATCATCAAGTTGGGTTGTGTTTTTGTCGTTGAGTGTTAGGAGGTTTTTTTGTTTATTATTATTCTAGGTATTAAGCCCTTAACAGGTTTGTGATTTGCAAACATTTTCTTCCATTCTGTATGTTGTCTTTTCACATTTTGGATATTGTCCTTTTATATTCAAAACTGTTTAATTTTTATAAAGTCCAGAGAGAAAGAAACCTCTATTTGTTTTTCTGCCTCTTTATGCATTCATGGTTGCCTCTTGTATGTGCCTGACTGGAGAAGAACCTGCAACCTTGGTATATTGGGGACGACACTCGAATCAGCTGAGCTCCCTGGCCAGGGCTTGGAAGTGATCTTTAAAAATAATTTATTTAACTTTTCTAGTTGTTCTCAGCAGAAGGGGAGAACACAGAAGTGGAAACCCTCTGTCTTATTTTTGTACCTAGCACAGTACTCTGTGCACAGTGTGTACTTATAGGTGGAGGCGGGAAGAGAAGGTAGAGAAAATGCCCTGAAAACTAAGGTGGTCTGCGAACATAAGGTGTCAGTCACAGAGAGCGCAGGGTAAGGGGTGCGTCTTGGCTTCTGCAGTTAGAATGACCTGGGAGTGACTTTCGTTCAGCGTGTTATTTTACCTACATTGAACAAGGATACTATCTACTTACAGAACGTTATTTTATGTAAAGCCGATTACCAGGCTAGGACTCCAAAGCGTGCGTTGGGAGAGTTGCGGGACTAGGTGAAGGAGGTAAAGGGGTTGAGGAGCACACACTGGTCGTTACAAAACGGTCATGGGATGTAAAGTACAGCACAGGGAGCGCAGTTAATAATACTGTAATAATTTTGTATGGTGCCGGGTGGGTACTGGAAGTATCGGGGGAAACACTTTGTAAAGCACTTGATTGTTTAACCACAATGCCGTACACCTGAAGCTAATATAAAATAATGTTGAACCCTGGCTCATATGGCTCAGTGGATTGAGCGCCGGCCTGCAAACCAAAGGGTCACAGGTTTGATTCCCGGTGCAGGGCACATGCCTGGGTTGTGGGCCACGTCTTCAGTAGGTGGCGCACGAGATGCAACCATACATTGAGGTTTCTCTCCCTCTCTTTCTCCCTCCCTTCTCCTCTCTAAAAATAAATAAAATCTTTTTTAAAAATTTAAAAAATAATATTGAACATGAAGTGCAGTTGAAAAATAAATCATGTTTATTTGTCCGGAAGCTGGTAAAAAGGACAATAACAAAGTGTCCTTTGCAGAGATGAATTGTCTGTTGTAAGGATAACATGAGATAATGTCAAGAAAAGTTTGTGCCATTTAGTAAGTGCTCACTAAATGTTAGCCATTGTTGTTTTCTGCAACTGTGATTTGTGTTGACTTTTTGAACTGAACATGCTATTGTGTTTGCTGATTGAAGTCCTTTCCCAAAGGTGGTTCTTTCTCCAGTGGCGTCTGCGGTGACGCAGTGTCCGTCGCGGGCTGTTTGCTTGCAGAAGGGAGCATTTTGTCCATCACCACCTGCTGCTCACTTGATTTTTCTTGTTCCACTAGGACTCTGGTTAGGAGTAGAATGGGACAATCCCGAGCGGGGCAAGCACGATGGAAGCCACGAAGGGACTGTGTATTTTAAATGCAGGTAATTTTCCATTACGCATTGGCATGGTTATTTAGGAGAGTGTTTAATAGTTGAATAAAAGGGGCTGGAGAAGAAATACTTGGATCTGGGGTTAGTTCTAGAATGCAGAATTTGGTATATTCTAGAAAGATAATTCTATTTGTAGAGTTTTTTCTTTTTTAAAGATTTTATTATTAGAGGGAGGGGAAGGAAGGGAGAAAGAGAAGGAGAGAAACATCAATGTGAGAGAAAAACACCAACGGGTTGCTTCTCAGATACACGTGCCTGGGGACTGAATCCGCAGCCCTGGCATGTGCCCTGACTGGTAATCGGACCAGTGACCTTTCACTTTGCAGCATTAAGCCCAACCAACTGAGCCACATCAGTTAGAGTTGTAGGGTTTTTTCTCTGTTTTTAAAAGTGACTTATAAGTGGGGTTGCTTTCTTTGTCCTTTTTTGTTTTTAAAAAATTGGATGAATGTAAACATTTTTCATTGATTCACTAACAACTTATAATCCATTAAGTGAATAACAGAAAAAGAACTAGCCTAGATATCCAGCAAGAAGCACTGGTTAAACAAAATACAGAACCTCCTGAGAGTAGCCTGCTAGGGCGCTATTAGACAAGCTTTCTCTTGTCGTTGGAAGTTGCACCTTCTTTTGCATGTCTACAAATATTTGTAGCTGTTTGACGTAGAGAAACTGCATGAAAGCTTGGAAAGGGTGGTGGGGAATTTCAGGCAGAATTTATCTTTTAAAATTTTATTGTTCTTTGTTTTCCTTAGGGTTCCGTTACTTAAAAGGATTTCTTAATATTAGGTTTATTTTTCTTCAAATGCGGCTCACTGAACACGATCCTGGCCTGGAAATCAGGAGGCCCCTCACTCTCTTTAACAATCCTTATGATCCTGGACAAGAGTAAATTTACTAACTTCTAAAATGAAGGTCAAAATTAGATAATATTGATAGCAAAGTGTGTTTCCCAGCCCCCCATTCTGGAACTTTGGGAAGTGAGGGTAGAGGAAGAATCAGCTTGTTCCTACGGGCCCGCTGGGAGGCGGGCTTGGCGAGGGGATCTGCCCAGGGCTCCTGGCGAGGGGGGTGGGGACGCAGAAATTTCTGGCCTGTTGATCCCTTACTGCCCCTGCAGGTAAGCCTCCCAGCACTCTCCCCTCTTCCCAAACCTTGCCCAGACCACCCAGGATTCATGGCCTGTGAATATGGTGTATTTGCAGCCTTGCTTTCTCTGAGCAGAAAACTGAAGACTTGGTCCAGTGCTGGCTGGTCTAGGACTTGCCCCGAGGGGCCAGAAGGAGGCTGAGATCAGGTACAGACTTGGTGACTGGGTGATCGTATTCCTTCCCTTGGAGGAAGCATTTCCTTGCTTCATTCTGTCTTCCAGTGTAGTCATACCTGTGTATCTGCATATCAAAACACGTATCTTATAATTACTTCCGTTTCATTAAAATGAGTATTTTATTGACTTTGAAGTCCTGAATGGGTGGATGATATTATTTGTGGATCCCATGTCAGGATATTTGGGGGACAGGGTAAAAGGGAGCATCGGCCTGGTGGGCTGGAGCTCCGTGGACCAGGCAAAAGGCCCTCCTCGTCCGTCATGGCTGGTGATGCGCGTGTTGGCATCGATTAGAGCGTAACTTCAACTAGTGGATAGCACACCACTGCCTTGAGAATCTCAGAGTCGGACTGAACGGATTTACACCCCGTGCGTGTTTTATTAGGCCAACTCAGATCTCTTGCTGATGTGTCATTTACACTTTCTCTCTTTTAACAAGTCTTTTTATTTTTTCAAATTTTACTTGGAAAGCCAAAATAACAAGATAAGTATTTTACCATTGTAAAAATTCTCTTTATGTTGAGATGCTAGTTTAATGAAGCCATAGCAATTTGTAATTGCTAAGCCATACATTTTTACATCTTATGCTGGTGAAATGGGTAAATGGCAAAATGCTGGCCCACCGACTTTAAATAGGAGAAACGTGAGTCACAGTGGCCATTACAGCACAGTGAGGACCCCGTCTCTTCGGAGGCGTGTGTGAGTGTGAAACGGCCGAGCGCGTTGGGTGTGCGCATGTGGTTGTATAGTTTGCCTTACGCCTTACAAAGACGCCAGGGTGTGTGAGTGGGGTGTGGGGTGAGCTCAGCTGCTTTGGTCTCCGCAGTGGCTCAGGTTGGGCGCTGCTCTCGAGGGAAGACACTGGAGCACAGACAGCCTGGTTTTCAAGGCTCGTCTCCCGTGTGCATCCGCCCCAGCGCATCATCCCAACCAGTTCAGCCACACTGACCTCAGGGGACTCCGGGTACAGATAGAATTGGCCCAGGCCGGTGTGGCTCAGAGGGCTGGGTGTTGTTCCGAAAAGCAGAGGGTCACTGATTTATTTCTGATCAGGGAACCTGCCCGGGTGCGGGTTCAGTCCCTGGTCTGGGCGTGTATGAGAAGCATAGCATCGATGCGTCACTCCTCTTTCTCCCTCCCTTCCCCTCTCTCTAAAAATAAATAAATAACATCTTTTAAAAAAGAAAAAATAGAATCACATGTGCAAGGGTCTAATCTCTGCTTTAACAATTGCCTTAAGAAGAATATCAGATGGGCTTTAACCCAGGGAATAAATATTTTTACAGTCAGCTTATAATGTTTCCATATTTAATCACAGCTGTTCCTTATTCTAAACATTTGTGGCGGCTGTGACAGGTATTATTAAATCCTTCAGCGATGACCAAGTGCAGCAATGAGCTGTGAGTGGAGCGTGAGGAACCAGTGCGGGGCTAAGCTCCGGGCTGTGGCCTCCTCGCTCTCCGTTTCTCAGAATAGGGTCGGCTGTTTTTTTCCTCTGGAATAGTCGGATTAGGAGTAGACCAGTTCACTTGTCAGGCCCCCTCTAACCATGGGTTTTGATCATTTCATGTCACTCTTTAGTTTCAGTCTGATCTTTAATATAATTTGAGGTTAATATGGCAACCTCCTGAGCTATTATTACCCATAAGTAATATTTGTGATACTATCAACTCATAGGAGGTTCCAAATTTATCCAGAATTCATGACCGTGAACCAGGCATCCGTGTCCCCTCCCGGCGCTCTTTCCTGCTCCCCTCGTCTTTGTGGGACTTGAGAGGCTCAGTTACAGCGATGAGCTTTGACGTTTTCTCTACCTTGTCCCTCAATAGCAGAGTGATTTCCAGTTGTTGTTGTTTTTTTAATTTAATTTCAAACTAAATTAAAAAGCATACCCTAAGCAGAACGGGGTGGACCAGTAGTCTCCCACTCAGCTTTTATTTAAGATGTTCTCTTTTGGGGCGCGCCCCCGCCCGGGGCGCGCCCGCGCCTTTCCCTTCCCCCTCCTCCCCTCAGGCGCATTTTCCCTCGGCCTTTCCCTCCCCTGGGCTCCAAGGGCCCTTCTTTTGTTTGAGTAACTGGTTTCCTGAGCCCACGCTGCTGCTACCTCTGTGACTTTCTCAATAAACTTTTATCTTATAATTTGAAAATAAAATAAAATGTTCTCTTCCCAAGCAGTTGTATGATTTCTTTTTTCTGGTGAGCAAGAAACCTTAAGGTCGCATAGTGAGTTCAGCCTGACTTGAATACTTGGCTTCAGAGGGGACGCACGTTCCAGACGGTGTCCACAGCGCCGGAGACCTTAAGAGATGGAAACCCCTTGGTGCGGTGGCCTGCGGACACGCCAGGGGGCTGTGGCGGCTGCGCTGAGGGTCTCGCGTGACCCCTCAGCGGGTCAGTGTGAAGCACTCCCCTGCATGGTGCAAGAGGTTAGAGGGATCTTTAAAAATCACTGAATGCACTGACGATATCTTCTCCTGGCCTGAATGTCTCTGCAAAAGGTGAAGAGAACAATTTTATTTTGGGGTGTGTGTATGTGTGTTTTATTTAAATTTTTTTCAATTACAGTTGAGATTTAATATTACTTTATGTTAGTTTCAGGTGTATGGCATAATGATTAGGGGATTATATACTTTACAAAGTGGTTCCCCTGTTGATTCTAGTGCCTACATGGGACCATACATAGTTACTGTCATTGACTATGTCCCCTATGCTGTACTTTATTTACATTCTCGTGATTATGTTTTAAACTTCCAATTTGTACTACTTAGTCCCTTCACCTTTTTACCCAGGCCCTCCAGCCCTGCTCCCCCCTGGTAACCCTCAGTTTGTTCTCTGTGGCTATGGGTCTGTTTCTCGTTTGTTTGTTTCTTTTGTTCTTTAGAGTCCACAAATGACTGAAATCATATGGTATTTCTCCTTGTCTGCCAGATTTATTTCACTTAGCATAATGCCCTCCAGGTCCATTCATGTTGTTACAAATGGTAACATTTCTTTCTTTCTTTTTTTTTTTTTAATGGCTGAGTCATATTCCATTGTATATTTGCACCACCTGTTCAGCCACTCATCTGGAACCGGCACTTGGGTTGCTTCCATATCGTGGCTGTTGTATGTATTATATATAATGCTGCGATGAATAGAGGGGTATATATCTTTTCAAATTAGTGTTTTGATTTCTTCAGGTATGTTCCCAGAACTGGAACTGCCAGGTCATACGGCAGTTCCATTTTTAATTTTTTGAGGTAACTCCACACTGCTCTCCACAGTGGCTGCCCAGTCTGCACTCCCACCCACAGTGCTCGAGGGCTCCCTTTGCTCCACATCTTCGCCAGCACTTGTTTGTTGCTTTATTGGTGATGGCCATTCTGATCGGTGTTGAGATGTTGTCTCATTGTGGTTTTAACTTGCAGTTTTCTGATGATTAGTGATGTAGAGCATCTTTTCATATGTCTAGGGGTCATTTGCATGTCCTCTCTGGAGAAGTGTCTGTTCAGGTCCTGTGCCTATGTTTTAATTGAATTGTTTGTTTTTTTGTGTTGAGTTGTGTGAGGTTTTGTTTTGTTTTTAAGATTTTATTTATTTACTTTTAGAGAGAGTGGAGGGGAGGGAGAAAGAGGGAATGAAACATTGATGTGTGAGAGAAACATTGGTTGGTTGCCTGTTGTAC